AGCCTGATTAACACACCGAAGTAACACACATGATGGGAAAACCTGATGTAACACACCTGATGTAACACACCTGATGTAACCACCTGATGTTTAAAAACCCCGAGGGGAAAAACGCCCGATGTAACCCACCCGATTTAAAACACCTGTTTTAACAACCCCGGGGTAACACACCTGATGTTTTCACACCTGATGTAACAACCCGATGTAAAACCCCCTATGTAACACAAACCGAAAGTAACAAAGCCTGATGTAACCCCCAAAGCCTGATGTAACACCCGGGTTAACACGCCTGATGTAACCGCCTGATGTAAAAACACCTGATTTTAACACCCTTAAAATTTAAAACGCCGATTAACACACCTTATGTAACACACCTGATGTAACACACCTGATGTAACACACCTGATGTAACACACCTGATGTAACACGCCTGATGTAACACACCTGATGTAACACACCTGATGTAACACGCCTGATGTAACACACCTGATGTAAGACGCCTGATGTAACACACCTGATGTAACACACCTGATGTAACACACATGATATAACACACCTTATATAACACACCTTATGTCTCACACTGAGTACTGTAACAAGTACTCTCAGACGTACTAACACACACTGAGAACTGTAACAAGTACTCTCAGACGTACTAACACACACTGAGTGCTATAACAAGTACTCTCAGACGTACTAACACACACTGAGTACTGTAACAAGTACTCTCAGACGTACTAACACACACTGAGAAACTGAAACAAGTACTCTCAGACGTACTAACACACACTGAGTGCTGTAACAAGTACTCTCAGACGTATTAACACACACTGAGCACTGTAACAAGTACTCTCAGACGTACTAACACACACTGAGTACTGTAACAAGTACTCTCAGACGTACTAACACACACTGAGTACTGTAACATGTACTCTCAGACGTACTAACACACACTGAGCACTGTAACAAGTACTCTCAGACAACTAACACACACTGATTACTGTAACAAGCACCTCAGACGTACTAACACACTGAGTACTGTAACAAGTACTCTCAGACGTACTAACACACTGAGCACTGTAACAAGTACTCTCAGACGTACTAACACACACTGAGCACTGTAACAAGTACTCTCAGACGTACTAACACACACTGAGAAACTGTAACAAGTACTCTCAACGTACTAAAAACACACTGAGTACTGTAACAAGTACTCTCAGACGTACTAACACACACTGAGTACTGTAACAAGTACTCTCAGACGTACTAACACACTGAGTACTGTAACAAGTACTCTCACTCGTACTAACACACAGTGAGTACTGTAACAAGTACTCTCAGACGTACTAACACACTGAGTACTGTAACAAGTACTCTCAGACGTACTAACACTGAGCACTGTAACAAGTACTCTCAGACGTACTAACACACACTGAGTACTGTAACAAGTACTCTCAGACGTACTAACACACTGATTACTGTAACAAATTTACTCTCAGACGTACTAACACTGAGCACTGTAACAAGTACTCTCAGACGTACTAACACACACTGAGCACTGTAACAAGTACTCTCAGACGTACTAACACACACTGAGTACTGTAACAAGTACTCTCAGACGTACTAACACACACTGAGTACTGTAACAAGTACTCTCAGACGTACTAACCACACTGAGTACTGTAACAAGTATCTCAGACGTACAAAACCACACACTGAGCACTGTAACAAGTTCTCAGACGTACTAACACACACGAGCACTGAAAACAAGTACTCTCAGACGTACTAACACACACTGAGCACTGTAACAAGTACTCTCAGACGTACTAACACACACTGAGCACTGTAACAAGTACTCTCAGACTACTAACACACCTGAGAAACTGTATCAAGTACTCTCAGACGTATTAACACACACTGATTACTGTAACAAGTACTCTCAGACGTACAAACACACAATGACCCACTGTAACAAGTACCTCTTAGACGTACTAACACACACTGAGCACTGTAATAAGTACTCTCAGACGTACTAACACACACTGAGCACTGTAACAAGTATCTCAGACGTACTAACACACACTGACACTGTAACAAGTACTCTCAGACGTACTAACACACACTGAGTACTGTAACAAGTACTCTCAGACGTACTAACACACACTGAGTACTGTAACAAGTACTCTCAGACGTACTAACACACACTGAGTACTGTAACAAGTACTCCCCAGACGTACTAACACCACACGAGCACTGTAACAAGTACTCTCAGACGTACTAACACACACTGAGCACTGTAACAAGTACTCTCAGACGTACTAACACACACTGAGCACTGTAACAAGCACTCTCAGACGTACTAACACACACTGAGTACTGTAACAAGTACTCTCAGACGTACTAACACACACTGAGCACTGTAACAAGTACTCTCAGACGTACTAACACACACTTAGTACTGTAACAAGTACTCTCAGACGTACTAACACACACTGAGTACTGTAACAAGCACTCTCAGACGTACTAACACACTGAGTACTGTAACAAGTACTCTCAGACGTACTAACACACTGAGCACTGTAACAAGTACTCTCAGACGTACTAACACACACTGAGTACTGTAACAAGTACTCTCAGACGTACTAACACACACTGAGTACTGTAACAAGTACTCTCAGACGTACTAACACACACTGAGCACTGTAACAAGTACTCTCAGACGTACTAACACACACTGAGCACTGTAACAAGTACTCTCAGACGTACTAACACACACTGAGTACTGTAAAAAGCACTCTCAGACGTACTAACACACTGAGTACTGTAACAAGTACTCTCAGACGTACTAACACACTGAGCACTGTAACAAGTACTCTCAGACGTACTAACACACACTGAGTACTGTAACAAGTACTCTCAGACGTACTAACACACACTGAGTACTGTAAAAAGTACTTCAGACGTACTAACCACACTGAGCACTGTAACCAAGTACTCCTCAGACGTACTAACACACTGAGTACTGTAACAAGTTTCTCTCAGACGTACTAACACACACTGAGCACTGAAACAAGTACCCCTCAGACGTACTAACACACACTGAGCACTGTAACAAGTACTCTCAGACGTACTAACACACACTGAGTACTGTAACAAGTACTCTCAGACGTACTAACACACACTGAGTACTGTAACAAGTACTCTCAGACGTACTAACACACACTGAGCACTGCAACAAGTACTCTCAGACGTACTAACACACTGAGTACTATAACAAGTTCTCTCAGACGTACTAACACACACTGAGCACTGTAACAAGTACTCTCAGACGTACTAGCACACACTGAGCACTGTAACAAGTACTCTCAGACGTACTAACACACACTGAGCACTGTAACAAGTACTCTCAGACGTACTAACACACACTGAGCACTGTAACAAGTACTCTCAGACGTACTAACACACACTGAGCACTGTAAAAAGGGTACTCTCAGACGTACTAACACACTGAGCACTGTAACAAGTACTCTCAGACGTACTAACACACACTGAGTACTGTAACAAGTACTCTCAGACGTACTAACACACACTGAGTACTGTAACAAGTACTCTCAGACGTACTAACACACACTGAGCACTGTAACAAGTACTCTCAGACGTACTAACACACTGAGTACTGTAACAAGTACTCTCAGACGTACTAACACACACTGAGCACTGTAACAAGTACTCTCAGACGTACTAACACACACTGAGTACTGTAACAAGTACTCTCAGACGTACTAACACACACTGAGTACTGTAACAAGTACCTCAGACGTACTAACACACACTGAGCACTGTAACAAGTACTCTCAGACGTACTAACACACACTGAGCACTGTAACAAGTACTCTCAGACGTACTAACACACACTGAGCACTGTAACAAGTACTCTCAGACGTACAAACCCACACACTGATACTGTAACAAGCACTCTCAGACGTACAACACACACTGAGCACTGTAACAAGTACTCTCAATGTACTAACACACACTGAGCACTGTAACAAGTACTCTGAGCGTACTAACACACACTGAGCACTGTAACAATACTTCAGAACGTACTAACACACACTGAGCACTGTAACAAGTACTCTCAGACGTACTAACACACACTGAGTACTGTAACAAGTACTCTCAGACGTACTAACACACACTGAGCACTGTAACAAGTACTCTCAGACTACTAACACACACTGAGTACTGTAACAAGTACTCTCAGACGAAACTAACACACACTGAGTACTGTAAAAATTTACTCTCGACGTACTAACACACACTGAGTACTGTAACAAGTACTCTCAGACGTACTAACACACACTGAGTACTGTAACAAGTACTCTCAGACGTACTAACACACACTGAGTACTGTAACAAGTACTCTCAGACGTACAACACACACTGAGTACTGTAACAAGTAACTCTCAGACGTACTAACACACACTAAAGTACTGTAACAAGTACTCTCAGACGTACTAACACACACTGAGTACTGTAACAAGTACTCTCAGACGTACTAACACACACTGAGTACTGTAACAAGTACTCTCAGACGTACTAACACACACTGAGTACTGTAACAGTACTCTCAGACGTCTAAACACACACTGAGTACTGTAACAAGTACTCTCAGACGTACTAACACACACTGATACTGTAACAAGTACTCTCAGACGTTACTAACACACACTGAGTACTGTAACAAGTACTCTCAGACGTACTAACACACACTGAGTACTGTAACAAGTACTCTCAGACGTACTAACACACACTGAGTACTGTAACAAGTACTCTCAGACGTACTAACACACTGAGCACTGTAACAAGTACTCTCAGACGTACTAACACACACTGAGTATGTAAAAAGTACTCTCAGACGTACTAACACACACTGAGCACTGTAACAAGTACTCTCAGACGTACTAACACACACTGAGTACTATAACAAGCACACTTACCGCTTCCTGAAGAAAATATTCATCTCGGCTGCTGTTTTAACCGTCTTTGTACTGTCCTTGTTATTATTTTTCTCTCTTGTTACTAAGGTCGAACTCTTCTGTTGTTACTTAGCAATAGATCCGCAGGTTTTGTTGAATGATGTCACCTTTGTTAAATGCCACGTTTGTTAAATGATGTCACATTTGTTAGATGATGTCAGTTTTGTTAGATGTCAGTTTTGTTAAATGTCACTGTTAGATGATGTCACTTTTGTAAGATGTCACTTTTGTTAAATGATGCCACTTATATTAGATGACACCACTTTTGTAAGATGTCGCTTTTCATCAATTATGCTACTTTTGTTAGATGATGTCAGTTTAGTTAGATGATGTCACTTGTTAAATTATTTCACTTTTTGTCAGATGATGTAACTATTGTTAGATGATGTTACTTTCGTTAAATGTCACTTTTTGTTAGATGAGTCACTTTTGTTAAAGGTCACTTTGTTAGATGATGCCACTTTTGCTAAATGATGTCACTTGTTAGATTATGTCACTTGTACTGGATGTCAATTTTGTTAGATGATGTCACTATTGTTGGATGATGTCACTTTTGTTAAATGTCACTTTTTGTTAGATGATGTCAGTTTTGTTAGATAATGTACTTGTTAGATGTTACGTTTGTTAAATGTCACCTTTTTTAGATGTCACTTGCTCAACGCCACTTTTGTTAAAGGTCACTTTTGTCAGATGATGTCACTATGGTTAGATGATGTTACTTTTGTTATATGTCACTTTTTGTTAGATATGTCAGTTTTTGTTAGATGTCACTTGTTAGATTATGTCACTTACATTAGGTATAAATTTTGTTAGATGATGTCACTTTTGTTAATGTCACTTTTGCTAGATGATGTCACTTTTGTTAGATGATGTTACTTTTGTTAGATGATGTCACTTTTGTTAGATGATGTCACTTTTGTTAGATGATGTCACCTTGCTAGTGACGCCACTTTACTGTCCACTTTACCGTTGATATGCGGTACTTTCTAAGTCACTTTAATTTGTGTCAGTGTTCCAGAGGAACTTTTATCCTCATACACTTAAAGTGAAAGACACTTTTATCAGTGTCTTCCGACGTTCCATGTTACGGTACACTTTCCACTTACTGCTCAGAAAAATTGAGTAATACTTTTCTTCTTCCAAGTAGTGTTCTTCAGAAAATTCTGTTCTCTATTGTTCTTCAGAAGTTCTGTTGTCTAGTGTTCTTCAGAGAGTTCTGTTGTCTAGTGTTCCTCAGTAAGTTCTGTTGTCTAGAGTTCCTCAGTAAGTTGTGTTCTGTAGTGTTCTTTAGTAAGTTCTGGTCACCAGAGTTCTTTAGTAAGTTCTAGTTTCCAGTGTTCTTCAGTAAGTTCTGTTCTCTAGTGTTCTTTAGTAAGTTCTGTTCTCTAGTGTTCTTCAGTAAGTTATGTTCTCTAGTGTTCTTCAGTAAGTTCTGTTCTCTAGTGTTCTTCAGTAAGTTATGTTCTCTAGTGTTCTTCAGTAAGTTCTGTTCTCTAGTGTTCTTCAGTAAGTTATGTTCTCTAGTGTTCTTCAGTAAGTTCTGTTCTCTAGTGTTCTTTAGTAAGTTCTGTTCTCTAGTGTTCTTCAGTAAGTTATGTTCTCTAGTGTTCTTCAGTAACTCCTGCCACCACTGTCGTATATACAGTGTTCTTCAGTAACTCCTGCCACCACTGTCGTATATACAGTGTTCTTCAGTAACTCCTGCCACCACTGTCGTATATACAGTGTTCTTCAGTAAGTGCTGCCACCACTGTCGTATATACAGTGTTCTTCAGTAACTCCTGCCACCACTGTCGTATATACAGTGTTCTTCAGTAAGTGCTGCCACCACTGTCGTAAAATACAGTGTTTCTTCAGTAACCCCTTTCCACCACTGTCGTATAACAGTGTTCTTCAGTAATTTTCCACCATGTCGTAATAAAAGTGTTCTTCAGTAACTCCGCCACCACTGTCGTATATACAGTTTTCTTCAGTAATCTGCCACCCACTGTCGTATATACAGGGGTTCTTCAGTAACTCCTGCCACCACTGTCGTATATACAGTGTTCTTCAGTAACTCCTGCCACCAAGCGTAATAAAAAAAAAACAGTGTTCTTCAGTAATCCTCCCACCAATGTCGTATATACAGTGTTCTTCAGAACTCCCCACCACTGTCGATATACAGTGTTCTTCAGTAAGTGCCGCACCACTGGTCGTACTACATTTCCTCGTACTCCTGCCACCACTTCTAAACATCTCTAAGTGCGCATCCATTCGTATTCAGTGATCTTCTTAAGTGCTCCCACCTGTCCTTTACTTTTTTCAAAGTCCTCCACCACTGTCTATATCATGCTCATAAGGCTCCCCCTTTATATCATGTTCTTCCATAACTCCTTCCACCACTGTCAGTATTACGGGTTTCTTCAGTAAGTGCTGCCACCACTGTCGTTAACGGTGTTCTTCAGTAACTTCCTGCTCACCAATTCGTATATTCCCCATTTTTCTGTAACTCCTGGACCACTTTTTATAACATTTTTCATAACCCCTTTTTTGCCACACCACTTCTTTATAATACCATGTTCGGTTCCTTTGTTCACTAATACTAAACAAATTCCTTTTGTTAACTTTCCCTTTTTTTCATAAGTTCTTTTTTCCTTGGTCTTTTTAACTTTTGTTCACTAGGTTCTACTTTTTGTTCACTTAGGTTCCACTTTTGTTCACAAGGTTCCATTTTGTTACTAGGTCCACTTTTGTTCACTAAGGTCCACTTTTGTTACTAAGGTCACTTTTTTTCCCAAAAGGGTTTCCACTTTTGTCACGAAGGTACCCCTTTTGTTCACTAAGGTACCCCTTTTGTTCACTAAGGTACCACTTTTGTTCACTAAGGTACCACTTTTGTTCACTAGGGTACCACTTTTGTTCACTAAGTTACCACTTTTGTTCACTAAGGTTCCACTTTTTGTTCACTTAGGTACCACTTACGTTCACTAAGGTACCACTTTTGTTCACTAAGGTTCCACTTTTGTTCACTAAGGTACCACTTTTGTTCACCAAGGTCCACTTTTTGTTCACTTAGGTACCATTTCGTTCACAAAGGGGTCCACTTTTGTTCACTAAGGTTCCACTTTTGTTCAACTTAGGTACCACTCGTCACTAAGTTCCACATTGTCACCAAGGTACACACTTTGTCACTAGGTACCACTTTTGTTCACTAAAATACCACTTTTTCACAAAGGTTCCACTTTGTCCGGCCCCACCGTGATCTGCGCACCCCGGTCACGCACACACTGACTCACGGTACAACAACACTTCTGAAAACAAACGTTCCCCTCTTTACAACACATATTCAAAACCGTAAAACAAAAATTACAGCCAACAATACTAGTCAAATGTTGTGATAACCTAAATATGCGTTAATATGTCAGGAAAACATTACTCCTTTAACCGAATTCAATTCACAACACTGAAACACAGTAACAACACTGTATCAGGTCAACACAACCTGTTTTCAGGGTAAACAACAACACTGTATCAGGGTCAACCAACACTGTATCAGGTCAACAACACCGAAACAGTCAACACAACACTGTATCATGGTCAACAACAACACTGTATCTTTGGTCAAAACAACAATGAATCAGGGAACAACAACACTGTACAGGGTCAAACAAACACTGTATCATGCAACAAACACTGTATCATGTAACAAAAACCTGTACATGGTAAACCCAACACTGATCATGAAACAACACTGATCATGATCAACAAACTGTACATGGCAACAAACCCTGTATAAACGGTCAACAACACTGTTTTATGTCAACAACACTGTATCAGGTCAACAACACTGTATCAGGTCAAAAAACACTGTATCAGGTCAACAACACTATCATGCTAACAACACTGTATCACGGTAAAACAACACTGTATCAGTAACAACACTGTATCATGGTCAACAACACTGTAACAGGTCAACAAAAACCTGTATCAGACAACAACACTGTATCATGTCAACAAACTGTATCAGGCCCAAAAACACTGTATCACGGTCAACAACACGGGTATCAGGGGTCAACAAACTGTATCACGGTCAACAACACGTACACGGTCCAACAACACTGTATCATGGTCAACAACACTGTATCACGGTCAACAACACTGTATCACGGTCAACAACACTGTATCACGGTCAACAACACTGTATCACGGTCAACAACACTGTATCACGGTCAACAACACTGTATCACGGTCAACAACACTGTATCACGGTCAACAACACTGTATCACGGTCAACAACACTGTATCACGGTCAACAACACTGTATCACGGTCAACAACACTGTATCACGGTCAACAACACTGTATCATTATTAACAACGCTTCAACACTTCAAGACTAGTTGATACACAGACAACTGGTTGATACACAGACAACTGGTTGACACAGGCAGCTGACTGACACGGTTACGGTGGGTGCACTCTTGCATGGTCAGCCTGACCTTGTAGACAACCATGACAATGACACAAACTACTAACATCCAACCACATTCCACTGCAACCTTCCTAGTGCAGCCACCACTACTACCACCTTCACCATTACCACTATCAATACCAGCACCACCACTACCATCATTACCAGCACCGCCTTCACCATTACTATCACCAAAACCATCACCACCACTGCCAAAACCATCACTACCACCACTTCCACCAAAATCATCACCACCACGAGTACAACCACCGCCCACGCCCGTGTGCGCTGGGCAGTCAACACCGATTTTAATTAAGAACATAAGAACATAAGAAAGGAGGAACACTGCAGGAGGCCTGTTGGCCCATACTAGGCAGGTCCTTTACAATTCATCCCACTAACAAAACATTTGCCCAACCCAATTTTCAATGCCACCCAAGAAATAAGCTCTGATGTGAAAGTCCCACTCAAATCCAACCCCTCCCACTCATGTACTTATCCAACCTAAATTTGAAACTACCCAAAGTCCCAGCCTCAATAACCCAACTAGGTAGACTGTTCCACTCATCAACTACCCTATTTCCAAACCAATACTTTTCCCATGTCCTTTCTAAATCTAAAAATTATCTAATTAAATCCATTTACTGCGGGTTCTCTCTTGGAGAGACATCCTCAAGACCTTATTAATATCCCCTTTATTAATACCTATCTTCCACTTATTCACTTCGATCAGGTCTCCCCCTCATTCTTCGTCAACAAGTGAATGTAACTTAAGAGTCCTTCAATCTTTCTTCATAAGGAAGATTTCTAATGCTATGTATTAATTTAGTCATCCTACGCTGAATGTTTTCTAACGAATTTATGTCCATTCTGTAATATGGAGACCAGAACTGAGCTGCATAATCTAGGTGAGGCCCTTTCTAATGATGTATAAAAGCTTCAGTATGACCTCTAGACTTCGTTGCTTACACTTCTTGATATAAATCCCAGTAATCTATTTGCCTTATTTCGTACCTTAGGCATTTCTGTTTGGTTTAAGGTTCTGCTCACCATAACCCCCAAGTCCTTTCGCAATCTGTATGGCTAAGTTCTACTCATTTAACTTATAAGTACTAGGGTGATGGCACTCCCAAGCTTCAGAACCTTGCATTTTTCTACATTGAACTGCATCTGCCACTTTTTTGACCAAGAATAGAGTTTGTTTAAATCCTCCTGAAGTTCCTAAACATCTACGTTTGAATCAATATCCTACCTATTTTGTGTCATCGGCGAATTGCTCATATCACTAGTAATTCCCTCATCAAGAAACATTGATATATATTATAAACAACAACGGGCCCAAGACTGAATCCTGTGGAACGCCACTTGTTACAGATCCCCACTCGGATTTAACCCCATTTTGGACACTCTCTGCTTCCTGTCAGTGAGCCATGACTCGATCCACGAGAGCACTTTTCCCCAATGCCATGAGCTGCCACTTTCTTTAACAGTCTACGGGGCGGAACCTATCAAAAGCCTTACTAAAATCTAAGTAAAAAAATATCAAATTCTTTTTTCGTGGCAACAGCCCCAAAAGCTTACGGGAAAAAAGTTGATAAATTAGTTAGACAAGACCGGCCTCTTGTGAATCCATCCTGAGTATCATTAATCAAGCTATGCTTATCGAGATGGGTTCTTATAATCTCACTATAATTGCTCTAGTAAATTTTCCTACAATTGAGGTCAGGCTTATTGGCGGGAATTTGACGGTAACGACTTGTCCCCTGTTTTAAAAATAGGAATTACATAGCCATCTTCCACATATCAGACACTACACCTTTTGAAGAGATAAATTAAAAATATTAGTTAATGGTTCAACAGAGTTCCATTTTGCATTTCCCTTTAGAACCCTTTAAAAAACCTCATCAGACCCGCGACTTATTTTGCTCAGTCTGTCTATCTGCTTCACAAAACCCTTTCACTAGTGACTGTGATGTTACATAATT